AATAAATTAGATTTTAATGTATATTAAAATAGAAAAACGTTATTTTACATCATAATATTTCACAATATTATATTTTTTCGATCAAATAAACGCAGCCTTGATGAGCATAAAACACTCCTGTAAAAAAAACAAAAAAACAAAAAAAACATTAAAAACCGTTCTGATCCCAAACTTTTGACCGGTAGAGAGTGTGTGTGTGTGTGTGTGAGTGAGTGTGTGTGTGCTAACTTTAAAAGTCTGACTATCAAATAGTCATCAAAAATGTCACTCATAAGCCATACTTTATTTGTCTAGCCTAGGATTGCGTTGATGTAATTTTTTCATTCTTATGAGCTCTATTCTCAGTCTGGTGATAGGGTAACAATTATGAATTATCAATGCAGGGCTGCTAATACAAAGTTTGCTATGTCAATTCCATCAGCGCTGAGCCTAGATCTCTGATCTCATTTGGACCGTGGTCCACTATTTGAGGACCCCTGATCTAGAGGGACTCTTCATGCAATTAGTGTACAAGTAGCCCTGAATCTAGTGTATACTAATCAGAATATAACTTCTATTGGTGTTGCCCTAATTCTTTATCACCCTGCTGCTATAATCAGGGACCCAGAGACTGGCAGAGTACAGCCTTGTGCAAACAATGACTCCACGATGATCAGTGAAAGTTGAAAGCTCCAACAGTCTGACTCAACAAAATTGTCAAAAGCAAAAAGACCCATTCACAGCTGGAAAATGCATAATGCAATGCATTATAAACTATTAAAATTATTTTCTTCACGTAAAAAGCACAGCACAACTTAAAATTGTGGACAATATGCGTCAATTTCAGCTTTGATGCTTTAAGCTTTAATGCTGTGGTGTAAATAGTCAATTAAGTTTATTCAATTATCATAGCACAGCATAATCTCATTAAACAATAATTAAACAAATCTTAGAAAAGATCATTTCAAAATGCAATGTTTGTGTTGAAACTGAAACTTAAACAGTTGCTACTGACAACAAAGAAAATCTAAGACGCATGCTTTTGTGTCAGACTTACCCAGCATCCTGTGCTTCATGGGCTCGTATGATAGATAATAAGTTGTTGTGTTGTAGAAAGTCACACACAGCAGGATAACTAGAAGAATGAGGAAAGAAAAGTTGAAAATAATTCGTAATATATAGCTTGAAGGCAAATGAACTTGGTTACTAGTTTTAGTTCTGGGGTGCATTTTCACTTTGATGTTCACGATACTGTTCACTACTTTCTCAGGAAGGAAATGTAAAAGATGGCCAAAGTAGCCTATGTGTCTAAGGAATGTACACATATTACATCAATGGGGAACAAAATTGTTGGTTTCCTTTTATTTAATTATATGTTTATGAATACTTATTATTTGTATTTGTTTGTGAGTGACCTTAATTAAGTTTGGCATGCTTTAACTCAAGCAAATATTACTCATGCATCTCGTCTTGACAAATGATTCCATCATTAATTTAAGTAATCAGAGGCATTAATCCAATAATCAAATTAAAAGAGAGAGATAGAGAGAGAGAGAGAGAGTGAAAGAGAGAGAGATAGAGAGAGAGAGAGAGAGAATTCGTTTTTGTATTTTCCATTTTCATTTTAATTAAAAGTTTTAGTAATTTTGTTGTATTTTTGCCATTTTATTAGTTAACATTTTTTTTAATGACTAATAGTTTACACCTAAGAAAAATTCACGCAAAAAATAAACTACTACTAAAAAAAAAAAAAAAAAAAAAAAA